ACGTTCTGATGCGAATACAGTAAACCATCGTTAGCACGAACTCGCTTACCAAGGATTTCGCCGTAACACGAACAAACTTTGGGGTACCGCAAGTGCGGTAATGCGGTCGTTTATAATAATCTGATAAAACGAATTTTCACAACACGAATTCCTATTATTTCGGTCCCATGGAATTCGCGTTAATGTGGGTTTAATGTAGTGCATTTAAATACGTTGCTGTGGGCGAGAGTGTGCAGGCAGGTGTTTAAAACAGCTGAACTTTCGTATCCGATTATGTATAACTATGCGTCACTTTCCAGACTGTCTCGGGTAATATTTCTTCTCTAACCTGCATTAACGTGGAAGCCAAAGCATAAACCAAGATTTCTTGCGACATATGAATCCACGAATTTTGTCATTTAGGCTTTCAATCAACGGAAATATGGTGCGAACAAAATGGTCTGTTTGTTAGTTTGTGTATTTACGAGAAAAGTTATAGCTCATACTCTTTCAAGACTTCGTCGTAAAGTGTTTCATTTATAGTTTATAAAGATAAATGTATTTGATACGGCCTGTCACTTTTGAGAGAGTGGTCCTAGACTTAAGATTTGCGACAGAGATATTATATTATTAATTTAACACCTTTATTAACGCAATAATTTGCGTATTCTAAATTGATACTTCAAACAATTTAACTTTATCACTGCACTGAGAGGTCACAAACGTTTTTTTCAATTCAGCATATAACGTTTCAGCTATCCACGAAAATCACAATCCAAATTTAGATAATTTTCTAACAAACATTTCGAGGGTTGATTTAACTGTCATCGTGTTTTATTGCCTTACTCAAATACACTGAAAGTTCAAAAGATGGAAAAATGTTTCTTAATGGAATAAGAACGTTTGACTGTATTCTCTACAGACAATTATTGCGTGAATGTTTTAAGAAGTGCTTATATTTACCACTTCCTTTACCGGTCTTCTCTCAAACACAAGGCAGAAACCACTAGGAGGGTTGGGGAATCACAGCGCTCACGTGGCGGAAAACCGCAAGATGTGTACATTTACAAGATGCACGGTTTGATAACGTCTCAAATAAGTCCATCTTGAGGCGATCATTTCTTCGTAAACCTTAAATGGATGGACTGAACGTGCATTTCTAGATCATTGTAGAAGGTTGTTGTAACCATGTCTTTGATAGTACGTGGCTATTCAGAGGGAACATATTGCTTTCGATAATGATAATTTAGTTTCGTAAAGTTAGTCTGATGAAGCCGGCCCCTGCACAATATTCTATCAAATGAGTATTGAAGTAAAATATTGACTGTACCATTGACCGAAATTTCAGTAACTAAAAATTTATAAATATATATTCCTTTTTATTAACTTTCTCTCTCTGTAATTCTGATAAATATATTTTACATGCGTTTTATTAAATTTGTAATATTTGTTTTCAGTAACAATCACTAACATTTGAAGTGAGTTGTGACTAATCCATTCTTAAAGATTGACGACACTTCAATTAATAGTTTCAATCATTTTACAACAATATATTTAGAGAGTTCAGTAAATATTTCACTAAGAGTCTTACAAGAAATTATATTCTTATCTGTGTAGAATGGCAGGTTTTCGAAGTCAAAGTTCTCTTTCTTTTCGTAGAAGTATTGTGAACTGACAGATGATAATTCGTTACATAAAAAAGTGTTAATGCCTATTGAAAATCTAAAATATCGTGCATATCACATGCTTTGTCATTAATCACGCTTCTTTAATTTTCCAAGAGCCCATGGTTTGAACTATTCGTACAAATTTTTCATTCATGGTGTACCGTGTATGCAGTATCAAATGTAGGGATATCTGTACTATACGGTCAACACATCCCTGTCATCTGCAGGATAATTTCGAAAACATTGCGTGATCTTCGCAGATGTCAGGATCCTGTGGTAAGGAGTGTGGCACAGAGTGATGGATGTGGTACGGATTGTGGTCGTGGACGTGATGTTCATAAGAGAAATAATATAATATGAATGAATGATTTTTAAAATTATCAGATATTGTCTTAACAAAATTGAAAACCTGAATTTGATATATGAAATGAAATGTCACGTTAAAATATTTTAGAGTAGTCTCAAATATCCGCATAACATGTCACCTTGGCCTTGCGAGCCGATGTCGATTGTGTTCTGATTAATGAAGTAATGCGAAACTCAAGATATATTCTTATTTTTAGTATTCAGGTTATATTGAGACTGATCCGTGAACACACGATAACGCGAAGAAAATATAAACATCCCACTTATCAACAACCTTGGATAGCATTTTTGTTTTCGCTCCCGACAGTAAATAAATTAAAAGCAAGTGAATAAAGGCACGTCTCGGAGAAACAATCTACCTCGGGAATTTCGTTTTGAATCTTCGAAAGCCTAAGAAACTAATACTTGAAAGTGTCGGTCGGTGTGCCTCGGTCGAAGTGAAAGCCTGCGTGACAAATAGAGATCTTTCCTCCTGACGCTCCAATACGAAACTACTGGACACTGCCCTCGGGCACTTCGGTAAACTCTAAGCGTTCCCACAAATTATGAATCACCCCTGGTATCCGTCAGAGGGAGTTTTCTTGTTTAGAGTGCTCCAATGTATCATTCCTTATGCCAGATTAAGTTTAGTAATGTCAACGAAAGTAACCTGAAAGAGCGGTGTTGTATTTTCCCGTTTCCGAACGTTTGACCATCTTCAAAGCTTTGAGGCTCACTTTCACGAAAGAATGTAGTGACTCACGTTTTATGCACCTCTACGCGCACAAAACAAATTTGTTGCAAAAGATGATTCAGTATTTGAAATTGTAGTTTACAGAAACCGATGAGGCCGTAATTATAGTTTACCGCCAATGCCAAAAAGGGTGATTATTTTGTTTCTGCGGATAATTTACTTCTGATTAAGTGCTGGTGAAGTGGTTTAGAAATGCAATTAAATATTATAACAAGATTTTCTAAACTAAAAGTTGTTTTTCTTTCTCGATTTACTTCGGGCGAACAGAAAGTATTTTAATCGTGCGGTGGAAAACTGCGATTTTTAGACAGAAAACTTATTGTTGGCTCTGGTAACGAAAAAAATGGTTGTTCTACAAGCGTACTCGTTCATTCTACATTTGCAGACAGCAGAATTAGGAACTACTGTTGTTTTGAAAGTGAGAGCGCGAACACACATCCGAGAATACACGATTAGTGCCGACGTCTAAAAGAATTTGACCAATGCTGACGCCAGTCGAGGCAGTCCGGGAAAAAGTGCTCGTTTTGTTTTTGTAGTTTCTGTGACGTCCGCGGAAAATTAAAATCCACTTCGACAGGCGCGAGAGCGTTCTGACAGTAAATTAATTACAAATAATGTAGTGAACAATTTGCCGCGAGGAAACAGAATTATTAATACCATTAGAAAGACCTTTGGACAGAGCTGCAATACAATACACCTTGTCATCGACAACACACACTATTCATGTAAAATATTTTAATTTCTCCTTTGCACATAACTTTTACACAATAGTTATGTGCTTACCCGCTTCTACTCTGCCGTTCCCCCCAATGAACCCAGCTCACCGCCCTCTATAGCTAATCCATCTGGATCTACCGTAGACGTGCGATTCTTATTCAGTCGGCGATCACCTCATGTAAACAGATCGCAGCGCATCTGCAGTAATACAAATGTCTACCTGATGTATCACACTTTTACTCTTTTTCAGAAGATGAAGTAGTACAGTTTCCTGTTCTATAATTATTGAAACTTCATTCATGAACGGATGATTCTCGATATACATAAGAATCCATTTAATTGTAAAAACTATGAAACAATTGGTAATCACGAATGTTGTCAAAATTCCATCAGCATTTCAATTAATGACATCGCATTCTATTCCACCTTTACATCTAGCGACAGTGTCTGGTTCCCTAAACGTTCACAGTCATTTCTATCCCTCCATCCACTCTCTTCAACATAGTCGCCCCTGCCTTTTTCAACTGTCCACTTAAGGAGACCCTGGTCTGGAAGTAACAAGGATCGGATGAAATCTCGTTGGCTGATCCCAGCCGCTGGCGGTACGTTTGGCGACCTCTGATGAAGCAGGCTTCCCACCGGCGAGGTACCAAGGTACAATTTAAATTTCTCGCGTAAAATGCGAAAACTGATTAACTACATTCATTCTGGGGAAAGTATTTTACGAATTCTTTACCTCCCCCATTTTTTTTTTTACAAAAATCAAGACTCCAAACATTTATCTGCTTCTTTTTACAGGTTCATGGCGAGCGTTCCGGATTTAAAAAGTTCAGTGATTTGCATGCTATATTTGTTTTTATATTCGATCTTTTTACCTTCCCATGAGATCTTCAAATGCATTTCTGGCTCAAAAATGTTACACTTTACGTTAAGTAACGCAGAAGTAAGTTTCTCATTTCAAATTCTAGACAACGGTAGTGTTCATTGCAAATCTCATACAGACTTTCTCGTTTGAACAGACCAAAAAGCAGCGAGAGCATGGCACAGACGTCGGCGATTGCAAATCTTGCTGATTATTCACCAACCAATACCTCAGCAATAAACTAAGATTCACAAACCCACGAGATCTCTTATTGTAGGGGCGGATCCAGAGACGAATTTTTGGAGAGGAAATTTTTTCAATTCCAAATATTTTGGTCGAATGTGTTATTTTTCAGATTATATAGAATGACGCAGGCTCAACAGAGCTAATGTAGCGATTCACTTTTATCCGTTTTATGTTTATACGAAAATATTTTTGCTTCAAATTTCACGACAAATTAAAATTAATGATTACTGAAAAAAAATGAGAGGGGAAATTCCCCTCCCGGTGGATCCGCGCCCGTTCATCGGGAACCACCGTTTGCCATCCACGAGCGGTGCGCTGGGAGCCGGGATTCACTAACGCAGTGAAGCGGCCCGCGGCGAAACTCAACCCGACGCGACGCGACTGTCTGCGGGGAGCCCCAAGGCCGGCTGGGCAGCGCACGCCTGCTCACCTGTCAGCGCGACCCCGACGAGCAGCATCTTGTCTCTGCGACCGCACACGCTGCACTGCGCCGGCCGCCGCGCCGCTCGCGCCGTTTGTTGTGGCATGACACACGCGTGACGTCACAGCGCGCGCGCGCGCGGGCGGGCGGCCTTGCGTAACGCCGCCGCCGCCCCTCCCTCCCTCCCTCTCTCACCCAGTTCTGTAGTCGGATTTGGGGGCGCGGTGAAGATAAGCTTCAGAGGGGGAGCAGAAGAGGTGTAGCTGTGAGCGTGGGTAAGTGCGGGCGAGGCGGGGAGGTGGAGTGGGTCGGAGCTGAGCTGAGCGCAGTGGAGTGAGATGGGGTCTGGGTAGGATGGGTTGGAGCGAGGGTCGATGTGGAGCCTAGGTCGGAGTTAAGGTGGAGCAGGGTGATGGTAGGATGTGTGGGGTGCGAAGCCTAGGTGTGAGCGGAAGGCGGGTGACAAAGGAGTTGCAGGGCGGGATGGGATGGACGATGGTGACGAAGCAGTAGCGGGGGAGTGGATCTAGGCTCGAAGTTGGACGCTCGCACCTGCATACGCGCCGCACGCTCAAGTAGGGTTCAGCGGGAGCGAGCGAGCGAGGCAGAGCGGGAGGGGCGGGGTGGAAGCTGAGTGGAGGAGGACGTGCGGGCGGGACGGGATGGGTGGAAGCGAGGTAGACGCGGGGCGAGGTGGCGGTAGGAGCGGAGCGAGGGTGGGGGTAAGGCGTGGCGGGCGCGAAGTGAGGTTTGGAGCGGGCTTGCGGCTGGAGAAGGGAGTGAGAGGCGAGTTCGAGGAGTGGGTGGCGTTGGGGGGAACGCATGGAGTGGAATGAGGCAGGGGGGGTGAGCTTGAGTGGTGGGCTGACAGGTTGTGGGACGCGGGCGGGAGCTGTGCGTTGGAGCGAGGCTTGGGGTGGAGGTAGGCGGGGCGGGGAGTAGCTAAGCAGTAGTAGTGCAGCTGGAGCGAGACGCATGCCGTGGCGGGAGTGGGACGGGTGAGACGTGGCGGGTGCGAAGCCGGGTTAGGGCGCGCGGGGGCGAACCGTGTATGCCCGAGTTGCACAACCCTGGGTAGCGCGTGGACTAATAGGCGGGGGGGCGGATGTGATGCAGGCCCATGCCGCTTCGAAAGACGCACACGGCACAATCGAGCTCAATCGAAGCGCCAAGAGTGCTGGGTAGGCAAAAGAGGAAATCAAAGACTGAAGTGACGACACAGGAAAGAAGTCTAGCGGCTCGCGAAAATGCATTGGGGTGATGAAGGGCCGGGGAAAGAAGAGCTTGGAAGGAAATGGGCGCAGCGAAGATACAAGACGTGGCCACGAAAGCAAGGAAGGTCGATGATGAGAGGGGGGAAAAGGGATCACGTGAGGAGAAGAGAGGAGTGGAGGCGTGTCGGGATGATGATGGTGGTTATTGTGGGCGACTACTGAGGTGGAACGACAAAAAAGGTCAGAAGTCAGGACAGGTCTCATGTACACATTCTATGGCCAACGAGTAGTGTTCATACCGTAAATTTGATTTCTCTCTCGTGGAAGCAGGACTAAAAGAAGCCAGAAGAATTTGACACAGGACTTCCGGCGATTGGGCAATCTTTGGCTGGATAGTACATACCCACCAGCAAATATCTCCAATAAACCAGAATTCGCAAAATCAGGTGATTTGCTTATTGCGCGTAGGAAAAAAAGACGATTCGGGAGGATTCTTTTTATTTAAATATTAGTCGAATGTGTCATATTGTATATTAATAATAGGTATACTATTATCTATGGACCAAGGCAAGCGTCGAGACGAGATAAGGATGCAGGAAGAGAAACAAAGCAGTGTTTTGAGTGAAAACAGGCCGAAGCCGGAACGGGGGTGGCTCAGTAGCTGGAAGGCTGATTGACGCCAAGTAAAAAGCAAGATGAAAATAGCATGAGTCTGAGTTAGGAGGGCAGATGTGTGTAGAATATTTATTCAATGAGGCTGGGTAGTGCTGGAAGGCATCTGGACCGGGAGAGTGCAATGGAGGATGGCGGAGAGAAATGCGGGATGTGAGCGGGGGCGGCGGCAAAGAACAGGTTGGCGCGGGCAGGCTAATGGAGTGAGGAATGCGACAACCGATGTCGATGTTTTGAAAACATGTATTTTTTTTTAATTCAAATCATTGGATGGACTTTAACAACGGATTTTTTTTAAAGCTGATGCTTTTTTAATATCGGATATACTTATATTTGATTTTATGTTGTTGGAAATTATTTTTAATGAAAAAAAGTACATTATAAAAACCTGTATAAATTTCTATATATAATTTCGTACTAAGTATCAAGAGTGAGAATAATCAAAACCGCGTTTTCATTTCTAAAATGAAGCTCTATTGTTAATTTTAAACTTATTCAGATCAGTATGATGGAAGGTTGTTGTTGATATGATTATGTAATGTTTTCACTGTTGTTTCGTCAATTTAAACTTCAATTAAAGATTTAGGTAACCCTTAACTATAGTTATGCGTCACCATTGCAGTTTTAAAAAGGAGTGTCGATGTTTAAAAGCATCCTGTTTTGAGACGATGCTTTAAAATGGCTGTTTTTTACTATTCTTGAACAATCGAATGGCTCTGTTGGCGAGTGTCCCATTTCTAATAGAAAGGCGTAACGGCAAGGTAGAGTGGGGTGAAGTGGGCAGTAGTGCGACGGGGAAGCAGCCTGGGCAAGGTTGTGGAAGAAAGGGCAGGAGGGCCGGCGCAAGGCGGAAAAGGGAAGGCAGGTGGGACGGGCGTTGCGGAGAGGATGTTGAATTGTGGAGTTGGTCCGGGGTGTGAGTGGCGAGAGGCAGGCGCAGGAGGGCTGGGCAATAGGGGTAGAAGAAAGGCGATGAATGCGGCGCAAGGCGAAGAGTGGGGGAGGAAGCGAGGGCGTGGTCGAGGCCTGAGAGCAAGTGCTGGAATAGAGGAGTGCCCCGGGGGGGGGGGGGTGAGTGGAGAGAGGCAGGCCGGAGGGGGTTGTCGAAGGAGGGGGGGGAGGCTCCAGCGAGGGACGAAGGGGCGGGTGAAGGACAAACGAGTGAGGCGTGGTGGAAGCAGTGTGGAATAAAGCGGATACTCGTGGGGTGGGGGGTGGGGGTGGGGGGGGTGGGGGGCTGGTAAGGAGCGGTTAGCGCGTGGCTATCGTCAGAGTAAGTATATACGTGTTGGCCGGAGCAACTAGCATTCCGGTGAAAGCATTTCCAGGGCTGCAACTCTCATCAAAATCGGGGGACATAAGCTGCGAGATGCTACTACAGGAAGGCTAATCTGGTCGCGGGGGTCAGCGAGGTTAGCTCGCCAACTTTCGTATACGAGTTGGCTAATTGTGAGAAAACGAAAAAGTGGTCTTCTAAATGTACACATATTCATAATCTCCTAACTTGTAAGAAACCTCTGAAGAAAGCGCTGAACTATAGGCGATTATTCTTTTGTAACATTACAAGGGCTTTGCTTGCGACTCGGAACTCATGCCAGCAGCAGCACGTTTACAAGTATCGTTGCAGCAGTTTCTGTTTTAGTTCCGTAAGAAGGGTGATGCAGCAGAGCGCGCCACGTAAGTGTGTCTTCAACGCAGGGCCCCATGACTCCCATATATAAGTGGCGGCTCTGCTGCTCAATTCTTTACAGGAACTAAAAAACAGATAATAGCTGCCAGATACTTTTAAACGGTGGCGTGGTACTGTTGCATCGAGTTCGCGTGGTCGCAAGCAGGATCCATAATGTTACAACAAAGATCACGTCTACGTTCGCGGCTCTTCTTTAGTCTCTGTACAAGAAGATAATTAATGAACTATTGTAATTTAGAAGACCTTTTCGGTATTTCTTCAATTAGCCAAATGTGTATCCGGGAAAGTTGGCGAGCATAACTGGCAGCTGGCACC